TTTAGTTCTATGAAGTATATGGATAAGTGCTAGCGATGGTGTATGTTCAGATATTGATCAATTAGCTATGAAAGTACACAAGTCATTTTATTTGTATATTAATCCCAGTATCGTTAACGAAGTATTTCTGTCTGAAAATGAAAGCAAAATGTCACCACCCTTACTTAAGCTGTTGGTACATTACAAGAGAGACAAGCAGTCCATTAGTGTGAAAAATGGGTACTAGAATGTTGCTGGCTGGTTGACTTCCCTCTGGTAAGTAGATCAGAACTGGGGACAGCAACAGATATCACCGCCCCTTACTTAAGCTGTTGGTACATTATAAGAGAGATAACCAGTCCATTATTGTGGAAAATGGGTAGTAGAATGCTGCTTGCTAGTTGACTTCCCTCTGGTAAGTAGATCAAAACTGGGGACAGCGACAGATAGCTTTAGTAGCTCTGCCATAAATACTGTTACGACAGCGGAAGTTACGTGACTTAGTAACACGTGATGAGTGTCTCGAACGTTCCTGAAGGCTCGAGCGTTTGCTAGACACGCGCTCTTATAGTATATAAGCCGGCACATAAAGTGATAGTTAGATAATTGCAGACAGGCAGAGATAGAGACGGACAACTGAGTCAAGCGCGGTAGTAGTAAAGTGCGTGAATCGTTCGTTGCGAATTATAGCGTGTTTTGAAGTTAAAGTGAAATTAAGCATATTGCAAAGTTGAATTGAGACAGAATAAACTAGTTTTATTTAAGAAAAGACTTGTATTGCTGAAGTTTCTCGGAAAGAATTTCTACGAAAAATTAACAAACGAACACAGATGTAACAATACAAATACCTAAGTTTCGCCATTTTTAGTACAACGTTTTCATCCTACTTTTCATAATTACTGGTTGTGAGTTTTCAGTCTATCATAGCAATGAAAGTCTTTGTGTTTATATCATTTTTAAATGTATGTTTTTGAGCAAGGCCGAATCAGGCTATCTGCTGTATCCACCATGGATTTTAGCGTTAGACTCGCCGCTGTCCCACCAGGGAACAGACGATATTGGAATAAATGTATTTTGCTTTCTATGAAATATCTAAAATTTTTGGTATGAACCATAGCAATCTCTTTTTTTTTAATAATGCGAGAAAAATAATTATTAGGTATTTGGTGAAAATGTAAATAAATTAAGATATAGTAATTAAAGAAGGGCAATAATTAACACATTCATGTTTAAAAATATCACAGTGTGAATAATATGAGAAATAAGATGTTTTAAATACGGCATACGTAGTATTTGAGAAACAAGAGCAAAAAAAAAAGAAGAAGAAGAAAGATATAACGGCTTTCATCGCTTCACGTTAGATGTTATTTTGACCTTTGTATTGTGTCGTTCTACCATCGAAGAGGTATTTCTTTGATTAATGTTGTACTGTAGTATCTTTTAGTGAGTATCAATCAAACAAGAGCAAAAAAAAAGAAGAAGAAGAAAGATATAACGGCTTTCATCGCTTCACGTTAGATGTTATTTTGACCTTTGTATTGTGTCGTTCTACCATCGAAGAGGTATTTCTTTGATTAATGTTGTAATGTAGTATCTTTTAGTGAGAATCAATCATATGATGAACTCAAACAAAACCTTTTAAAATATTTGAAGTTATAACTGAATTTGAAATATTGTATGCAAAGTTAGGAATTTGAACGAAGAAGGCTGGCAATACTTGATAAACAGAGGGCGTTCATTCACATTACGAAAGTTCAAGAAGGTATGGCCTAAAGTTACAATGGTTGTGACAGTGTGTAAGTTAAGCAGTTATATTATAATATCATTTATTTTTCATTTGATTTTTTCTCTTTAAGTAGAGGCCAGAACTCACCGAGTACAATTATTATATTTTTACTTAAAATTGGTACGCTACAGGTGGGACGTATACAGTAGGGGCCGCATAATTGGTTTTATGAAAGTTATAAAATTAAACAAGCTGAAGTTAGAAAGAGGATGCCTTTTAGATTTACCGTACACTATGAGGGAGAGAGAGAGAAAAAAGAGATGGACATGAAACAAACATGTTTTTTAATTAATAGTTTTGGATTAGACAGTAAATTATTATGAATTAAAAGGTTTCTTTATGTTAATGAAAAAATCTTTGTTCGCTTAAAGTTAATACCTTGATTCTCTCAAAATGCCAACATACTAGTGACCTAATATTTTCAGTTAAAATTTAGCATCAACACCTGAATCACAGCGTTCTGCATAAAGATATTTGGTAATAAAAATTTGCTGTCAGTGAATTGAAATTATGACTTTATTTTTTATGTTTGCAGGTTGATCAAAACTTCTAAATATTCGGCAATTCCAATAAACCAAACAGATCCAGTGTTTAACCGAAGATGCTAATCGGACTTCTAGTGTTGCTTTTTGGTTTGTATATGGGTATCTACTTGAGTCAGAACTACAATATTCCTGTCGTCGATAGTCCTTCTGAACTTTGGGAACGAGTTTGTCGATATGTAAGTAATTGTCTTGTATATATAGTGCTTACTAAAACAATAGTCAAGTGACTTATTTGTGCGGTCTATAGGTAGATAGATATTTGTCATTTTTTCTGTTTCTAAATGCACAGAACTGAGTTTCTTTGCTTAAATTAGATTAATACTAAAAAATAGAGAATAATAAACAAATATTTAGGACTTGGATGCCCGGGGCAAATGTTGTAGGGGGGGGGGGCTCAGAATTGACCTTCATAAATAAGTCAAATACAATTAATTACTATTTATTGACTACAGTTTCGGCAAGACACTAACAAAGTTAACGGGTAAATAATGTACATAATATAAATTCTGATATTTATAAGGAATATAAGGTAATGACAATGAATTTTTTGTTAGATGCCCAAGCGAAAATTATACCAGAGCAAGCTGTAGGAACAGGTTAATGAAAAATTATAAAATAGCAGGTTTATACGAAACGATTAAATTACTCTTATCATTGTGACACAGTTTGAAAAATGTTTTTCTATGAGTTTATGAATATATATTTTTTTTCTGTTAACCGTATGTGTGTTGTGTGTGTGTTTGGTGGTGGGAGGGCTTCGATCTAGGAGCCAGGAAAAATTGAAATTATTCGCTCTCCCGATCCGGCCCTGTGTGTATCTTATATTGATATGTGTGTGCATATATATATATATATATAATTTATTTATTTATTACGCAACATAATGTTTCATTAATATTTTTGAGCATCTGGAAAGGATATTTTAAAACAAAAATTTTACTTGATAAACGTCTTTACTGGACTATATTTCCTTTTCTTAAATGGTGTACACGCCCTCAAAGTTCTTGAATGCCTTTAAATTTCTTCTGAGGGGTAGGGACGGCAGGGAACCAAAAATTAGTTTTTGTTTATCTGGCTTTCGTGCTTCATCTGCACTGAGCACTAGCGAAGTATACTGATATAATAGAACAGCTGTTTTATCGATACC